ATCTTGAGTTCCATTTAGATAGCAATCGCATGGTTTACAGTTAGGGTAACCGTAGTATCCAAAATTACAGCTGTCACAATTTGGTGGTGTAAATTCTTTTCTGCACTCGCATCGACCAGAGCCTTCAGCACAATTACCGGTAGAAAAGAAAACACTGCACTGACAAGCTAAAAATTTTATATTTTATTGAAATATACGGTTAATAATGTGTAGGAATCGAAAAGTATTTGATATATACTTTTAATATTGAAAAGTATTACTATGTCGAAAACCGTAATGGTTACAAAGTCGGTTAAATAGGAAGAAAGTTGTAATATTGCAGGACCATAGTCTATTTTTATGTATGAGAGAGTAATAAAACAGCATTTCTAATGCAAAAAAAAAGTACGGTCATTTTAAATATTTTTACAGAATAATCTAAATATTATCTAAAATTGTAATACATGTACCTGAGCTATTACAAGTTTTGGGTCTTTTATTGGTCCTTTATAAACATAAGCTGTACAGAACAATAGAAAAAGGTTTGGACAGGCCAAAAGCCCTGTGTATTAAAGATTACATAGCCGTATCTTAAGATTATTTTCAATAAGTACCTATTTGCCAATTTTGTTTTATTTTAATTCCAAGAATTTCTTACAGTAATCGAATTATAATAAGTAGATAAATACCTTCCCAACAAATTTCACCGAAAATGCAATTATAGGTTTTCCATTTAGTAAGGAGGTCCAAGTTGTGTATTCTTGACAGTTTACTAAATGTCGTTTAGTTGCAACTTGCAAGGTGCAGTGTGAATTCTAGTGTGATCATGGAAAATTTGGAAGGGCCGCGTAAACGACAAAAAATCGGTCCTTTAACAGTTAATGAAAAAACATTAATATTTAATTGTTTTAAATCATTTACAGACAAACATTTATGTAAAATTGTTGATGACACAGTGGAATTAGTTAGTAGAACGCTTGGTGTTGGGAAATCTACGATTTACAGAGTTGTTAAAGAAGAGAAATGTGGCGAGTTTCAAACATCACGTAAAGCTCCAGGAAAACCAAAATTTCAATTAGAAAATCTTTTGAAAGAAAGACTTCGAAGGAAAGTGCATGCGTTCTTCTTTAGAGAAGAATTTCCGACAGTAGACAAAGTTCTTGCCACGATTCGAGATGATAAGGATTACTCTGAAATGAGTCGAAGTACACTATGGAAACTTTTAAAAGAAATAGGTTTTCTATGGAAAAAGCATTCCAGAAAGTCTATTTTAAAAGAAAGAAGCGATATTGTAGTATGGAGAAGAAATTACCTAAGGACTATAAAAGAAATGAAAAACCAAAGAAGAAATATATTTTATTTAGATGAAACATGGATCAACGAGGGACATAAACCAAATGAATTTTGGCAAGATGAAACTGTTACAAGTCGAAGACAGGCTTTTTTTAAATAATTTATCTACTGGTTTAAATCCACCATCAGGAAAGGGACGCAGACTAATAATAGTACACATCGGTAGTTCAAACGGTTTTGTTAAAGGTGGTTTATTGACTTTTGAATCTACTCGTACCGGTGACTACCATGAGGACATGAATGCTGATGTCTTTAAAGAGTGGTTCGAACAAATTATAGATCTTCTTCCTCAGAACTGTATAATAGTAATGGATAATGCAAGTTATCACTCGAGACTTATAGAAAAAATGCCCACAACCAAGTGGTTAAAAAAAGATTTACAGAATTGGCTAAATTCAAAGAATATTAAGTTCCATCCCGGTTCTGTGAGAAAAGAACTGTATCATTTGTGTTCCCTTCATAAAGAGAAATTCAAAAAATATGAAATTGATGAAATTGCAAAAAATCGTGGGATGACGCTGGTTAGATCACCACCATATCATTGCTAAGTAAACCCAATTGAACTGATATGGACACAAATAAAGGGAGAAGTTTCAAGAAAAAATAATTCTTTTAAAATGAGTGATGTTAAACTGTTGTTTTTGAAGGCTGTAAATAATGTGAAGCCTGAAAACTGGGAAAAGGCAGTAAATCATATGATTAAAAAAGAAGAGAAAATGTGGAAGTTGGACAATATTACTGATGAAATGATCGAGCCACTCATTGTAAATATTGCTTGCGACAGTTCATCTTCTGATTTCGATTCTGATTTGGATTTGTAGGTAAGAAGTAGTTTTTATAATAAAATTATTATTTATGAACGTAACGTTGTTTAAAAGTCAAAGTTTAAACCCTTATACCTACATAACCCGTTTGACACAATGTTCTTAACATACCTTTTAGAAAAATAAAACATTTTAGAAAAAATTGCACTTTAAATGTCAATATTGAAAGAAAAGTCAGTTACACAAGTTTTTAATTTAATAATGACATATGACAGATGTCATTTTTAGATTTGAAAGACGATAAATGTACAACAAACGAGGATGACTATCAATAATTACTTTCTAAAAATATCTAATGAATAGGGCTTTTTTATTGGATTTAACGACCGATGTCATATTTTAGGTTGAAAGACAGATGTCATATTTTAGGTTGAAAGACAGAAGATGTTAGTAATATAAAAATATGTACGAGAAACTAATGTAGATAATTACGGAAAAAAGTGAATACAAACGTTTTTTAATAGTGACGGATGACATACGTTATATTTTTAGGTTAAAAAGAATATTGAATAGACATACGAAAACCTGTACAGTTGGTTGGATAGCTGTCATATTTTTAGGTTAACAGCTTGAAAAAAAGAAGGTGCCTAGTAATAATAAATGTTTGACAGATGATTTTTAAGATTGAAAATGCTAAAATAATAACATGAGAAACTGTGAAGATAATTCGATTAAAATTGATGATGGTACATTGTAGTTTTTAATTGCTGTTGTATTTATTTTTTAATAAAAATTACGACGATGACGTACGAAAATGACGTACAACAATGACGTACGACAATGACGTACGACAATGACATACGACAATGACGTATGACAATGACTAACGATCACATACGACAAGGGACAAAGAGTATTTTGTTACCTTTTTATTAATAACCAACATCAATGACGTACGACAATGAACGTAGAGTATTTTTATTGAAGATTCAACTAGTAAGTAATAAGGCAACGACGATAATGTATGACTACAATAACAAATATTCATTGACATTTTCTTCATCCAGAGAAGCAATGTCTCCTCTGCTCCTTTGACTCCCTGGTTATTATAACTTCTGTACTAACTAACTTCGGTCCCTTTGACAATGCAGCAGCGTGTATTCTATGACTCTTTAAAGATTTCTACGATTTTCTATGTTTTCCATTTTTTTTTGTGATTTTCTATGAATTTCTACAAATATCCGACTGTCTGTTACCCCTTCAATGTTTCACTCTTCATCGATGACTCTTCAGCAGCTTCTTCAGTAGTTTTTTGTTCTTTGCCTTAGGCCTGTACTGCTCTCTACATGATTTCTAAGTATTCTTCAGTGTTCTTTCAATGTTTGGACCTTTTTGTTGGCTTCTCGTATCAATAAATTTTACGAACTTTCAATGTTTGTCTATGATTTTCTATGTTTTTCTATGATTTTCTATGATTTTCTATGATTTTCTATGATTTTCTATGATTTTCTATGATTTTCTATGATTTTCTATGATTTTCTATGATTTTCTATGATTTTCTATGATTTTCTATGATTTTCTATGATTTTCTATGATTTTCTATGATTTTCTATGATTTTCTATGATTTTCTATGATTTTCTATGATTTTCTATGATTTTCTATGATTTTCTATGATTTTCTATGATTTTCTATGATTTTCTATGATTTTCTATGATTTTCTATGATTTTCTATGATTTTCTATGATTTTCTATGATTTTCTATGATTTTCTATGATTTTCTATGATTTTCTATGATTTTCTATGATTTTCTATGATTTTCTATGATTTTCTATGATTTTCTATGATTTTCTATGATTTTCTATGATTTTCTATGATTTTCTATGATTTTCTATGATTTTCTATGATTTTCTATGATTTTCTATGATTTTCTATGATTTTCTATGATTTTCTATGATTTTCTATGATTTTCTATGATTTTCTATGATTTTCTATGATTTTCTATGATTTTCTATGATTTTCTATGATTTTCTATGATTTTCTATGATTTTCTATGATTTTCTATGATTTTCTATGATTTTCTATGATTTTCTATGATTTTCTATGATTTTCTATGATTTTCTATGATTTTCTATGATTTTCTATGATTTTCTATGATTTTCTATGATTTTCTATGATTTTCTATGATTTTCTATGATTTTCTATGATTTTCTATGATTTTCTATGATTTTCTATGATTTTCTATGATTTTCTATGATTTTCTATGATTTTCTATGATTTTCTATGATTTTCTATGATTTTCTATGATTTTCTATGATTTTCTATGATTTTCTATGATTTTCTATGATTTTCTATGATTTTCTATGATTTTCTATGATTTTCTATGATTTTCTATGATTTTCTATGATTTTCTATGATTTTCTATGATTTTCTATGATTTTCTATGATTTTCTATGATTTTCTATGATTTTCTATGATTTTCTATGATTTTCTATGATTTTCTATGATTTTCTATGATTTTCTATGATTTTCTATGATTTTCTATGATTTTCTATGATTTTCTATGATTTTCTATGATTTTCTATGATTTTCTATGATTTTCTATGATTTTCTATGATTTTCTATGATTTTCTATGATTTTCTATGATTTTCTATGATTTTCTATGATTTTCTATGATTTTCTATGATTTTCTATGATTTTCTATGATTTTCTATGATTTTCTATGATTTTCTATGATTTTCTATGATTTTCTATGATTTTCTATGATTTTCTATGATTTTCTATGATTTTCTATGATTTTCTATGATTTTCTATGATTTTCTATGATTTTCTATGATTTTCTATGATTTTCTATGATTTTCTATGATTTTCTATGATTTTCTATGATTTTCTATGATTTTCTATGATTTTCTATGATTTTCTATGATTTTCTATGATTTTCTATGATTTTCTATGATTTTCTATGATTTTCTATGATTTTCTATGATTTTCTATGATTTTCTATGATTTTCTATGATTTTCTATGATTTTCTATGATTTTCTATGATTTTCTATGATTTTCTATGATTTTCT